ATGGTATATAATTCTCTTGCAGGTAAGATAGGTGAAGCGCAACATTATGTAAGAGTACTAATAGAGAAAGTACGAAAGCAATCTAGCAACGAAATGAATCTAAATAAAAAAGTAAAAAGAATTTGGCATTGGTAGTGATGTCAAATGAATGAATCAATATATGTATGAATCAATATAAATGGATAAATTCTAATTTTTACAATGTCACAATATCTATTTGAATAAATGATATTCAATTTTATTGCGCCAACTTTTTATACATATATATTCAAAATTCAATGGAGAGGGAATGCTTATATCGTGTAGGCTTGTGTTTTTATTGCGTAGCTATTTGATGATTGCCTACGACGCTAAAATCGTCACTGACGTAAAGAAGGTGAATGGAGAGAGGGAAATAGATAGCTGAAAAGAATAAATAAATGACGAAGCGAAATGAATATTATAAAAGTCATTTAATACTTTGCTGAAAATTCTTGCTTACCAAAAAATTTACTGAAAAAAAAAAAGTAATCGTGTCTGAAAATAAAATGAGAAGACAATGAGGAGTTGTGTGAAATGCAGAACGTAACGTTCTCATATCTTTTATTCGTTGCATCGAGGTTGTTAGAGAAAGAGAAAGAGAAAAAGAGAGAGCAACATCCGCGTTTCACCGTTTCGTTCATCGATGGCATGTTGCTTACGGTTTTCTAGCTCCGTTTCAACTTATTCGTTACAAGTAATTAATTCATTGAACATATTAATAAGGAATTAATAAGGAATAGAAAATCACTAGATTTAAAAAATCACCAGAGCGATAAGATACGTGCTCGCAATTTTGAAATTATCTTACGTGTTTTGCAAAATGAAACGAAATAAACTTTCTCTCAGTTTGTAAGTTTCCCTCGATTTACCGTGGTAGCAACAGAAGTGTATACTCGAGACTATTCAAATGTAAGCAAAACTCGATTCTATGTATGTATAGGTTATGTAGTAACTATCGAAGATTCCTGTAGACTGCGCGTTCAAACCGTACTTCGATGCATGTACAATTGCAAACAAACAGCATCTCTACTCACACGAATTGCTTCGAGAGCCATAAACGGAAGAGCTTATTCGTTAAATGTACGAACGTCTGGGCCATTCAATAAATATACACTGTGCATCTTCATTAAAAATATTTCGATACGATTTTTCGTTATTTTTTCATTTCATTCGTGATCATCAACGAATCATTAATGAATCTTGATAATTTATATTTTTTTATCATATTTATTATATTTTAATGCAGTTTAGAACGTTAATTTATAAAAATTTAAACAATACAATATTTAACAAATTTGTTAAATTATATACATCCATGTTAAATATATATTTTATGTAAATTTGATTCATATTTAATATTCAAATTTTCAAATATTACGTAATATAAAATATATTTTATATATATATATGTAAAATTGAAATTGAATTCTGAAATCTAGAAATTATATAGATTTTATTCGAATCATAGCAGAAAAGTGAGAAAAAGGAAGCGCGAGAAGCAAAATTTCAACAGAGGAAGCTAATTCTAATAATATCTCGTGTTTGAAACTTTCGTTCTATGACACATGCAAGTACGTACTTCTGTTGATTTGTCGAATCGACCTAATAACCTAATGATATCTAACAAGTTTTCTATTGCACAAAAAATTTCGCGGGAACTTAAATATAATATAATATAATAATCCAAAGATTATTAGCTTCATCTTAAATTTTTTCTATAATATCGAATTCGTACCTTAAATGATCCACGCGATTCTCGTTGTACGATCCATTGTTGTCCCGAAAAAGTATTGCTCTGGAATGTAAACGAAATACTACGATTAAATGTTACAAGAACACAATTGCGTAATACAAAAGCAAATGTAGTATTCCGTCAGTTTATTGAAATTATTAATTGAAATATATAGAGAAATAAATATTCTTTATGTAATATTGTTCTTCGTTAAAGAATTCTCTCATGGCAATCATTGCTTTCGACAAAAAAAAAAAAAACTAGTCTAAATTTAAGGCAAATCATCTGGGATTGATTCAAGAAAACAGCTAATCCCACGAGATGAACTGTCTTTTTCCCATTAATTAAGTTGATTAATTAAGAAGAAACTCATTTCGTGTACCAGTTCTTCGAGTATCCCGACATCGAGACATAAAGTGTGAGATTAAACGCAAGCTTTTAATTAACAACATTATATTATCAATGATTGCGTATTAAAAATTAAAAAATGCCGGAAAAGATGTTATTATCATTTTTTTAATTTCCTTAAATTCGATTCGATGTGAACGTATATATAAATGATTATACGCGCGCGCGCGCACGCTCATATACAAGGAACGAATGCCTTTGCCTAAGAATAACTTAGGTAAACCGGGTCACGTTCAATGCTTGCATATTCTTTTTTCACAGAACAGCATGCAATAATATCATTTTTAATAATCTTTTTTTTATTTATAATTCGATGAGTTATTGTAAGATTCATATTGCAAATATTTGTATAAAATGACGGACTGTAGATTGTTATCAATACGTGTTTTAGTCTTTCGCAAACTCAATATGAACTTGAATTGAAAAAAACAATCGGAAAAATCTTATAGTAGTAAAAGATGAATCACTAGAATTACGATGACCAAGCTGCACCATATATTAGCAATTGTATTACGTAAGTTGTTGCATAGGTTAAAAGAATCGCATCTATCGATGACAATGAACAACGACAAAGACAGTAGAACTACGACAATTATTTAAAAAAGAATCAGCATTCGTTTTATCTTCGATTATTTAATCTTATATATATCGTTTGCTATTCTTGGTTCTATCAAATTTTTTCAAAATTTATATATGTCAAACAGATGTACATTGGTATACCATAGAAAAGAAAATGAAAGTAAAGATCGTTGACGTCGAAAAAGAGATGAAAATTCAACCATTTTAGGAAAGATCAATTGGAAAAGCACGAAAATTAACAATTAATTTTTTTTAATTTTCTGAATAATTGATCAACCATTTTAATCAACCATTTTAAAACGGTTCCTTGAATGTTTAATTATTCGATAAATATATTCGTGAACCTTGACACGAATATCAACATACTATAATCATACCGAAGTCCGATAAATTGTTTTTGTTTTAAAATTGTAAATGTATTTATATATTTATATTATATAAATTTTTTATCGAAAAAATGTAACTCTAATTAAAAATTTTTTTTATATTTCTTATAGTTAAGTCATACAAATCAAATAGAAAGGACGCGACGGCCATTTTTCGACATTACGGTATAAATTTTTTTTTACATAGAAGTATCATTGAAATCAAAAGAAATATAATTATTAGTGAAATAAAATATATCAAAAGAATTTATCTAGATTCATCATTTTTGACTATGTTTTTGTTTGAATAAACACGTCGCGAAAATATCATTCTTATTGATCAATTTTTATATTAAAGAAATATAAGATCAGAAATGAGAATAAACATACCTTTTTAGCGCGAAACTCGCGCCTATTTAGTCCTTAATATACGACGTGTTAATCCAATATGGCAGAACACACACATGTCAAAACAAATCGGCGAATGGCGCGGAATGACGCGACGACGCTACACAATTCTACACAGCTACACGTTCGTATTCACTTCACCCGAACATTGGATCGATATAGTTTCAGAGCGATTTTAGACATATTCAACGTTGCTATCAGAATTTATGTTGAATTTAAGTTACACAAATATTAAAATATCATTTTTGAGACAATACAGGAAGCATCAAAGATATTCGATTGTGATTGGAAAAATGTTCTCGATCACAACTGTAAACTTGCTGATTTAAAGAGGCACGTAGACGATCAAGCTCCGTCGGTGACTGGCAACGCGAACCTATGTGCGTCGCGCCACTCATTGGCAACTTCGTGGCAGGAAAACCGAATGCGCCCGAACGCTAGACTTTGTATGTAGCTATCCGAAGAGAGGCGCTGCTTCTCCCGACGTCGTTCATCGAAGTTTCAGTGACGCTCAATTCAAATGATTCAGTTTGTTTTCTTTTGTTTTTTTTGTTTTCGATTTATTTTTTTATTTCCTTCTTCTCGTTTATTATAATTGTAATAATTTCATTTACAATTTGACTCAATAATATATATATATATTTGTATATATGTATACATATTTAAATGCTTGAAAAATTTATAGCGATATTTACAATAAAATATAAAATTTTACTTTTATAATATTATATCTCACATGATAAAAAATTATCATGTGTTGTATATTTATATATCTTTATAATCAGTTACATAATTAAGAAATTTAATATTTCAGATCAGATGATATTAGGAATATCAACATTGGAATAAGAATAGATAAAACGAAGATAAAATTAAAGAATTAAAATACATGTGAGATATTCGATTTTTGAAAGTGATAAAATGAATGAATTAATGAATTTAATTTTCAAAGACAATTATTATATAAATAATTGATATTTATGCATTTATTTGATTGTACTAATTTCGAATCAATTAGCCTAAAAATTATACTTTTTTTAACACAAAGATAATATTTGAAATTTTAATTGATAGCGAAACGTATTATCATCTACTATCATTATCATCATATACATCATATACAAATAAATTAAACTAAAAATTTCCAGCGATGTTATGCCAAATTTTTACGGTACATAAATATTATAAAACACAATTGATCGTTGGATAATTAATCAAGCTTAGACTATCATCCGGTTGGACATAGTCCAATATTTCCTCCATCTGCCTACGCTTACCACTGTCCAATCGTATTCCGTATAATCGAGTTTTCTAGTCATTCGAAAGAAAAGTATACTTTTCCTATATTAAAATGCAGTACGTATTTCATGAAAATTAAAAGATTTCAATTTATAATATTATAAATATAATATATGTTATATTCTTCAGAATGCGTATTCAATAAAATAAAGATGATTCGTATAAAATAAATCTGTTCTAATCGTGATATCTTCTACTCAACTGTCTGCCCTTTATAGTTTACCCTCGACTCAAGACCTTACTCTCGCTTTGTCCCTATTTTTCTCCCTTCTTTAGTTCCTCTTCAAGGACTTATACGTGACTCTAATTTTGATACGTCAACAAAATTTACCCTATGTACTTTACATTATTCTGAACTAGAGATGCACATTTTAAATTTTACCTTTCATTCCCAGAATGCCAATCTCATTTTAAAGAAAAGAAATATCCTTTTTTCTTAAAAAAAAAAAAAAAAAAAA